CCTGGGCTCCCCTGCCCTACGGGAAGGGGTTTTAGGGTTTAGGGTTTAGGGTTTAGGGTTTAGGGTTTAGGGTTTAGAGATGCCGGCTGCAGAGAAGGGGTGGCTTGCTGCTGATGCAGCAGCAGAGCAGCAGCGGGAGCAGCAGCAGCAGCAGCAGAAGAAGAAGGAGCTGCAGCAGCTAAAAGAGAAAGAAGAGCAGATACAGATGTGTGTTGTGTTGCTGCTGCAGCAGCAGCAGCAGCATCCCCGCATGCTTCCTCTTGCTGCTGTCACGATGCAGCTGCTGCAGCAGCAGCAGCAGCTTGTTGCTGCTGCTCTGCTGCTGCTGCGCCGCAGCATCAACGATATCCTCAGCAGCAGCAGCAGGCTCTTCGTTGGCACCCGCAGGGCGTGTGAGGAACGCGTGCGTTTCCTCCAGCAGCAGCAGCAGCAGCAGCAGCAGCAGCGGCAGCAGCAGCAGCAGCAGCAGCAGCAGCAGCAGCAGCAGCAGCAGCAGGAAGAGATCGACTGGGATCAGGTTGAAATACGAAACGAAGACTGTCTCTGCTGGCCCCCAAAACAGCAGCAGAAGCAGCAGCAGCAGCAGCAGCAGCAGCAGCAACAGCAGCAGCAGCAGCAGCAGCAGCAGGAAACAGAGGATGAAGGGGAGCTGTTTGTGCTGCTGCAGTCACCACCTCCTCAAGAGGTTCGTTAACACCCAACAGCCTGCTGCTGCTGCTGCTGCTGCTGCTGCTGCTGCTGCTGCTTATGCTGCTGCTGCTACTTCTGCTGCTGCTGATTGTGAGGCTGCCGCGCCTGGGTGGAGCATTTGTGCTGCTGCTGGAGTTGCTGCTGCTGTTCTTGCTGCTGCTGCTGTTGCTGCTGATGCTGGTTCTCCTGTTGCTGCTATTGCTGCTGTTGCCATTCTGCTGTTGCTGCTGCTGCTGCTGCTGTTGTTGTTGCCGCTGACCTGCTGCTGCTGCTGCTGCTGTTGTTATGTTTGCTGCTGCTGCTGTCACTGTTGCTTCTGATGCTGTTGCTGCTGCTGCTGCTGCTGGTACTGCTACTGCTGCTGCTGCTGCTGTTGTTAGTACTACTACTACATCAATAACAGCTATTACTGTTGCTGCTGTTGCTGCTGCTGCTGCTGCTGTTGCTGCTGCTGCTGCTGTTGCTGCTGCAGCTGGCGCTGAGCAGCAAAGGACTGCAGCGGCAGATTTGTAGATTTTTGGAAGCAAAAGAAGTTTTGGTTTTTTCTATGATATGCAGGGCTACATCTGATGTAAACCCTAAACCCTAAACCCTAAACCCTAAACCCTAAACCCTAAACCCTAAACCCTAAACCCTAGTTTTTTTTCTTTCCCTCTTTCTCACTATGTAGAGAATGCAGTCAGCTTCAAATATTAGGGTTTAGGGTTTAGGGTTTAGGGTTTAGGGTTTAGGGTTTAATGTAGGAGGTGCTCAATATAACACTTTACAACCTAGGGTTTAGGGTTTAGGGTTTAGGGTTTAGGGTTTAGGGTTTGTTGCAGGCAGCAAGCGACGAAGACATTTGGAGGGTTTTGCTGCAGCGGTCCTTTCCTAAGGCAATCCTCGTAAACCCTGATCTGCTGCAGCAGCAGCAGCAGCAGCAGCAGCAGACGGTAGTAGCCAGAGAGAAAGTATGAAACCCTAAACCCTAAACCCTAAACCCTCAAACCCTAAACCCTCAAACCCTAAACCCTAAACCCTAAAAATTATACACACCCATATAAACATTTCCTATCCGTGGTTTCCTCATCACAAAAACTACTCTCCCTTAAAGGGTTTAGGGTTTAGGGTTTAGGGTTTAGGGTTTAGGGTTTAGGGTTTAGGGTTTAGGGTTTAGGGCTTGGGTTTAGGGTTTAGGGTTTAGGGTTTAGGGTTTAGGGTTTAGGGTTTAGGTTTTAGGGTTTAGGGTTTTGTTTAGGGTTTAGGGTTTAGGGTTTAGGGTTTAGGGTTTAGGGTTTAGGGTTTAGGGTTTAGGGTTTGTGTGTTCAGTTGCTGGATGCAATCCTAACAGAGTTTCCGCCAAACCGTTTAATTCGTTTCGCTGATTTATATTTATTTGCTAATAAATTTATACAACACCAGCAGCAGCAGCAGCAGCAGCAGCAGCAGCAGCAGCAGCAGCGGCAGCAGCAGCAGCAGCACCACCACCACCATCAGCACCACCATCAGCAGTACCACCACCATCAGCAGCACCATCAGCAGCAGCAGCACCAGCACCACCATCACCAGCATCAGCAGCATCAGCAGCAGCATCAGCAGCAGCAGCAGCAGGAGCAGCAGCAGCAGCAGCAA